AGAAACCAACAAGTCTATTCAGCTAATATAATCCAGAAGATTGTGAAACATAGTGTATAATATCAAGTTGACCTGTACTTTGCGTCGGGGAGATGTTAATTTAACTAACAGGGTTTTACCCTTACGCTTATTATAAGGGCGAAACCTGATATTAAGAGTATCAGTTACAAATTACAGGAGTGAGAACAAACAAAAAATCTAACCACAAAATATAAAGGAAGGCAAAAGTAGGGGGATATATTTACGGCCTCAAAGTGGAGCAGTTAGTATCGGTAATTGATATTGTATTGCTTACTGCTCTTCTTTTGACTTTTGAGGGACGTGTAGATGGGGCAATGGCCAACATAATGTCCAGTAAAAGGATATATTACCAGAGTACCGAGAAGGGCTGGGCACCTGCCTTCTTCAGCAATTTTTTGAAGACGTTTCGTTGTGGCTTAACAGACGTTGCAAATTATTGATCCGTTTGGAAATTTAGGATGGATTTTACTGCTGATTTAACAGTACGAAGTACGGTTAAAATCAAATATGTTATCGCCACCTTAATTGTACTCTAGAATACAGTAGCTGCTTTTATTGTATGTTTTTGTTTGTGTATTCTCTGTATACTAAAATGAATGGAATGATGTGAAGATCTAGTTGCATGTTACTTCCAAAAAGACATGAACAATTTGATTTGCTTTGAAGAATAAAATGGGACTACTCGACTTTTTTATTTCTCCAAACAATTTAATTTCTTAGACCTGATTGCCCTGTTGCAGCTGCATCTTGAAGTGTTTGGTACTCATTCAATTAGTCTGTGATTAACCTGGCCCCTTGGAGAATCTGGCAGATAACGTCACTGGGATTGCCAGGTCAGACTCTGGACTTGATCTTTCAACAAGGGCTCGGGATTAGACCAGTTCGTCAGTGAGACTCTCCAGTCAACCATTGCTTCTGAAATGCCAACCGAGCAGATGAGAATATTTATCGGTATAGGACCAGACAACTAACTAATCTCAGGTAACAAGAGATTCTGCACGGACTGGCAAATTGGGAAGACGAAACTGTGCCGCTGGTTTGACGAACAAGGAAAAAAGGAAGCTAGAAAGCATAAATTGTAGTTCGAGAAGGTCAATTAATCGGATGGGTTGTTTATGAGGCATTCTGAATTATCAGGCGGCTGTTTCTGGAATCTATCGCCTGGAATCCACATGTCTTCACTTTCAGGATTATTAAGTGCAAACCTAATGATGATTTTATTAAGCCCACGAGCTTTATAATATCCTTGGCCACTTCATTACTCCTGTACACGACACTCTAATTTATTATTCTTTTGGGAGGCATGAGGCGAATCCCTCTTGTTAAATAGTGCATCAACGACATTAATAAAAGCTTCCCAGATGATTTGTTTGGTTACAAGGATTACTTTAAATGATCGATGGTTTCCGTAGCATCCATACGGGACTATCTAAATAAATATTCGACCTTTGTCATGTTTCTTTCTGTTGGTAAATACAACTTGGCAGCTTTCGGGAATTATTTGTGTGACATACCTAACGCACAGTTACCCTGCATATCTGTTCAAAATCGCGGACAAAGCTATGATGTAGAGCAAACACCATTTACAGCTTGACTGCCAAAGTATTGCTGCGTAGATCCAAACGAAACCATGTAAGCCTCGGCACAGCAGACTCAGAACAATGTGCAGGAAGTATAGCTTCGATATGAACTGCGGAAGATCGGTTTACTTGAAAATGATGAACTACGTGTGTGAGGCACCAAAATATTACCCTTTGAAATGTCAATAACTGCGACCAGATGTTTATACCGGAGATAGCATCCGCACTTACAGTAATGACCTCAGTTCACATGAATATTAAACAATCTTTGTTATGCCTGGACCAAGTTTTAGACCTGTTAATAGTGTGGATACTAAAGTAGGAGGAAATGGCCAGTGGAATGGGCATTGTTCGTAGACTTAAAATGTTTCATTTGAATTATTTATCACAAAATTAAATTAAACAAGCCAGTGACGGACAACAGTGAATCCGAACAAGTTCTCTATCAAGATAAATTAATCAGTGTAACGTTTATCTCCCTTGTTGCGCAATACACTCCCGGCACAATACGAGTTTAGTTAACCTTTATTTTGGAAGATGATTATGAATTGATGGTCTTTCACGCCGCTACTACTTCCATCACAAGTTTTACGAATCTGGCAGTGGAGCTCGTTTCAATCATCCTTCCATGTGATAAGATGAAAGATGGAGAAAGACCTACGATTCTTCGTCTTTGGCACGCCACCCCTCCCCCACACATAACTTATCATATGATTCAGCTCAGCGATGTAGGCATGTTCAGAATATTTACGATGTGGTCGATTTCATTGAAAGTGGCAGACCTAGAACTGACACTCATGAAAAGAAGTAGTGTAGGTGGACGAGAGCATTGGATAAAGAGAAGAATGCTCACGCTCTGTTCATGCTCCTTATATGACATCAGTATCTGCCGAGTTAAGATTCTTTCGCAAGGGACGATTACCTTTTGGTCTGACTCAAATCGTCCATCAGTACACTCTGCAAAATCCTCAGTTCTGGAAATTGTAAGCAATTGCAGATGGCAAATGCTAACCAGATGCCAGTTAATATTGTCTCGTATGAGGCATGCCCGTCATATCAGCTTTCGGAGGTGTCCGTAATGAATCTCATCAAGGAACAGAAAATGCAGTAATTTTCGAAAAGCTAAGTTGGTTTAGGTGCTGTGATGACCGATTATAAATAGTTTTGATACACGTAAATTTATTCTAAGGGAAAAATCAGTGTACTTGACTTTCTTCCTGAAAGCGATGAAAGCCACGTGTAAATCGTCGCCTTGAGTAACAATGAAACTCCATTCGTTCCAATAAGTTTTCAAAAACAGTCTGCAACTGTATGCAACACATGTGTATGAGTATAGTGTTAAGAATAGTTTTATTTCAGGAAATTATTTTCATTTGCACAGATGTGAAGCATTCCGTACAAACAATCTGTGTAACACCTGAATAAATTCCTGTATTACCTCGGAGTTTGTTCAAAGATTTCTTGTGCAGGTGTAACAGAGCATCTATTGACAGAGGGATAGAACTATGCTTTGCCGATTGACCGTTCCGTGCGACGGAAAAAAAGTTCAGCAGCACAAGCTTCACCACCAACCAATAATAAGTCCGTGGTTTATTGATGCGTCGTATCAAATTATAGTTTGTGCAGTCAGTGCAGGTGATGATACCAGAAAAAGCCTAAAATCCTGTCACGGTGGACTCTTCTCTCTCGACAAAGCTTAACATTGGGAATACATTTGTCTGGATTAATAGATTTAGCAAAATAACAATCCGAATCTGTGTATGTTTTGATTTAACTATCACAACATTGTGTGGAATACAATATCATTTATGAAACGGAACACTGCCATTATTGTTGCATTACGTCTGATGGCTTATTAGCTTTCGGTAAAAAGTTATAGGTGTTCTGACTACTGCTACTATTTGTCATCTGCTTCATTACTTGGGATTCATATTCATTATTATAGCATTGAAAATTCGTTTTTATGCACATAAGTATTTGTTTCAACATTTTTATTTTGTTCAATTTCACTAGTGAGTACCCTTTATACGAACTCTGATAAAGAATTCAAGATAGATGCAATATGGTTAGGAAGAGAACGTGTTTGCATTGTTCTTGATATATGACACAACTGCTTCATAATCATTGGCTTGATTCAAATTCTTTTGGGTATCATCCCACTCTTTAAAATTTCTCCAATTGGGTGCAACCACAATATCAAGGCAGGATTTATAACTATTTCATTCTTCCAAGAATGGTGAGTGCAATTACTGTTTATTTTTCTTTCTTTATGTCTACAGTTAGTCTGATAATTAAAAAGGTCCACAAAAGACTGTTAATACAGCAGCAGAATTCTCATTTTGAAACAAAACAAAGTTGTTTTATTTCCCCTGCATTTATTTACAAAATGTAATACGTGTTAGTTTCTTTCAGCAGAAAATTCATCTAAGCGAACAACTGTTATCTGGATAACCCCGCGATCACCAGAAGCTGCGGAACCACTTGTTATTTGGAATTTGCTGTGGTACGAGTTTGATGAACAATATTTATGGGGAATTGAATGCCAAGAATGAAAACTGTGGTTACAGAAAAATAAAAAACGTTGTCTCATAAAACTCAGTGGACTGAATGACCCTCAATGAAATACAGACCCTCAAGGATCAAATACAAACGTCCAAACCACAAACGAATTCAAAACCATTGATCCCTAAAATTTAGTAGTTAATGAGTCAATATCTTAAAATCTAATTTTGACAAGGACGTACATCTGGAGTATGGCCAACTAAAGCTATTTATCTGAGTTATCATTTAATACATATGAATGCGATTCAGGGGCTTAATATGGACTTATTTTAACACACACATCCAGCTCTACTTATCCGAGACACACTGAACCTCATAAAAATTACCCGGCTGGTTTTTGGTTACCATGCATAATAAGTGTTGAAAAGGAAAACAGACTTCACTACTTAGACGAGGCAAGGGCGTCACAGAGATGGATATTGAACGATGCTTTCTGATTGGTTCTCCGAATTACCACTCTTGCCTATACAAATCATGATACCGATGTTTATAAAACGTGATGCCGCTGCAGAACTGAATTCATCAGTACGTTAAATTAAATTTCAAAGTGCAAATGTAAGACTACGAGCCGTCTGACATCTGCAAGGTTTCCGAGTGTGTGAAAACAATTCATAATTTTGTGCGTGTAATAGCAATGATAGGCTGGCAACAGTACCACAATATCACGGAGGATAAAACAGACATGTTTGTTATGTGAATGAAGCGCATGCGTCGTTACTCTAAGCTCAGTTTCCCAAAACGAGCAATGTGCTTTCAATATCAGTTGGTGGTGATAAACAAGCCGAAGCAAAGCTGAGTTATATTTCTCTGTCCTTCTTCTTTACAATCTCCCTCCAGAAGTAGACGTAAAGCTCTGGTGTTGTCAACTTCCGCATCTTCGTTGATACTCAGCACGGGGGCTCCTTGCTGACCTGGCTTCCTGTGTAAATCGCTTCTCGTTATCTTTCAATTGGTCGTCTTTCGGAGCAGCGCACTGACTGTTCACCATCTCTATACTGCGTTATCGAGCTTCTCTGGTTCAAGTTAGGCGACGCAAGGTAAGAGTTACCCTGTCGTACCAACTCGCGGTTTGGGCGCCGACTCCACGGTGTGTCTTGTTCGGTTTTGTGTCATTAATTTGAAAACGGTGTTTTCTAAAAATTGTTTTTTAAACTTACTAAATTTTTATCTCACTTTAGTTTTCAAGTATCAGCATAGCTCTGTTTTTGATTATTTTCGGCTGTGAACTTAAAGACGTATTCAACACCGAAGTTTTTGATTTAAAAAAGAAGATCGTCATTTTGTCTGAGTATGCCTTACGCTAAGGCAATCCAAGCCATTTTCTACAATAAAAAACGTTACCGGCAGATGAACTCTGTCTTTTGCAAATCGTATTTAGTACACTCCATATCTGAAGTAAATGTTACGGTATGTTTATAACTATTAACTGTGCAAAATGTACGTCCAGCTCTGTGTAACTGTCCCTTTTTGTTGTTACCAGCGGTAATTATTATGTCGGTTGATCGAGTGTGTTCTACTCGCTTGCTATATGATCAGGTGAAGGGATATCAGTCAACCTAATTTTGATCCAAATGTTGACTGAGCTTTTTATTGTTGCATCACAGTTGTGGCACGGGAAAGCATTGCGACACAATCTCTCTACGCATGTGCACGAGCAGAGATCTCGCAATTGTAAATCATAAGATCATACGACGAAAAAAGAAACATTCGTGGCAACTTATAACGTAAAGGGGTGGTGAAGCTTATTTTAACAGTAAGATAGCACCTTTAATTGAGCGAGACAAGCATTCATTGCATTTTACAAAATGCTGCCTTCGGATAAAAAAAGGAAATTGATTTCTTCAGTGTTTAACCTTCGTGTCAGTAGTTAATGAGTAACTACGTATGTGACCAAAATAAACATCGATTGAATTACATCTTACATTGGTCGTTGGCTGTCGTTTTTCGGGTTCATAAGCCAAACGTGAAAAATCATCAGATGAAAAAAATTCTAGATATAATGGGCGACTGAGAAATAATTATACTCGGGTAAAGTTCATAAATTGTTTGTGACTCGTAATTGTAGCATGTTTTATTGCAAATTTGACACAAGTGACCTTCGCGGCTAATTGGGAATGGCATTAGCTATTCTCGCCGGTGAATAGTGGATCTATACCAGCTGCAATTTACCGCCATCTAGACGCGGAGCATTTTTCTGGCCGGCCGGCGAATTTTCATAGTCTGCGATGCTAAAGGTCTCGGTATATCGATCCCCATCACACAACCCGACACTGTCGGGGGTGTATGGCTGCCTCTGGGGGGCATCGAGGAAAAAATGAAGATTGCGTTATCAACGTTACTTGCGTTATCTTGTCTCCCTGAGGTCGTGTCTGTTGCCTCTACTTTCAAGGGGAGAATACTTTGGAAATGATCAGATTCGATAGGCAGTGTCGTGATGAATACTCCCAAAATTGTTCTCAGGGGCTCGGAAATCATGAATCTGAAGGTAAGGGAAAAAAGTGAAGGCCAAAATGTATGAGCTCCAAATGTGCTGTTCAGTCCCATTTTTCCAAGGAGATCTTAAAGCTGGCCACCCAGTCATTCCGTAAGCGAGGATTTCACACATTATGTTACGTCTTTTCTGAAATTGACGTAAATATCAACTTTTAGTTAGGAAAGTGTATTCAATGTTGGATAGCCACTGATTAATAATTATCATCAACAAGTAAGATAGGTTGAAATATAATATTTGCATTTCTGCCATGTTTCCTTCTACATTGTTAAAGCTTCGTAGTTATTGTGTACAACCAGGATATAGACCGAAAGACTTACATGGGAGATCAGCTGGTGCTTTAAAGTTATCCGCTGTCCGCAGATTAAAAAAAGTGCATACCAATCGAATGACAGGTGTTGCAAACAAAGAACGTGTCAGAAGGAGAATTAAAACTTTGGCAAAGATGCAGCCAAGAGATTCCTTAGTTTTTGCTCTCAGCAAATATGCATTAGCATGTTAGACGCTGGGGAAATGTTTGAAGTCCATTTCGTGACGAACAGAGCTGGGTTGTTGACAATGATTCGATGTCTTCACGAATTACTTGCGCGTTCCATTTGTGGTCGGTCTAAGGAACCTTATGATGAAATCCACAACACATAAAGCCAGGCTGCCGTTTGCGCCTGTTATAACGGAAGACTTGATTGGAATTTATTGGACTTTTTTGGTTATTCCTTGTTCACTGTCCCCTTCTAAATATAATTTATGGCTTGGCTTTATTATTTAGTCACGAATGACGAGTTGGATTTCACGAGATGCATATTGACAACATCTTCTAGCGGAAGGCTCTACATAGGTCTAATCCTATTCTGGCGCCGACAGTTCACCGATCAAAAGTTTTAATTTACGGTCTTTTTGCAAAGGAGATGGAGGGACTAATAACTAATAATTGTTGGGTGACGCCACCATAGACGTTATATAAAAAATGTGGAGTCGTAATGCTCTTACATCGACTCAGGCCACCGGCTGCCATATCATCCATGCTGAATACAAAGGTAATCAATGGAGAGCTTTTGTATTACCCTTTGTTCTCGGCAAGACAAGATGGCTGCTGGTGACTTCAGTGACCTATGTGGGCTGATTAAGGGCACGGTGAGTCCAAACGTTTTATATGACGTCCGTGGATACAGCAAATATTGCACTATAGATTCCAGATCATAGGATTCAGTGTAACGTATCGAGAAGTGTCCAGCATGAACGTTCAATAGCTTTATTATTGTTCATGCTGTTTCGTTTAGGCCAGATTGACACTGAGGTCAGATGCGTGCCTTAGCCGACAGCCTCCGGCCACTGCACTCCGAGGGACTTAGTTTAGGTCAATGATTAGTCAGTCGACATTGTAAAGCCCCACGGAGCCCCCTTTTTACTTTTATTTCCTCGGAACGATTCCATTGACAGTGCGAACAGCATTCACGGACAGCATGAGCTGGTCTACCTTAAGTCTTCATCTTTTATCGCCAGGGCCTTAACATTTTGCGAAGTGCCCGTATTTGTAAACTCTCGTTTTTTACTTGCCTATCCCGCATACACCTTTTTAAAAAGTTGTGAACTTTATTTCTTGCCTTGCGATGTTTAATTAATAGAAATGCCATGCATTTTTCTCACCCATTCCATTTCAATTGCGTGGATAAAAATGAAAGGGAACGGTTTACAGAGTCTTGCTGGCACAGCGGAACTTACTCAAACCACCTGTCAATTTGAAAAGGTCTTTCCGTGTCTCATAGGGTATTTGATGGCCCTGGGTGAGGACCATCCATTTCCACTTTTATCTGAGAAAAATATAAACCTGTCAGGTTTTCAAAAAGAACTTGACATGTGTTAACAGCCCTGGTCGGACAAGCGCTGGCAGAGGTGTCTCCTTCCTGGTGCATGTTGTCCACGTGAATTAATTTTGTGCGTATCAAATTGATAGAGTGATTGATAGATCTGTTCCGTTTTGCTTATAGAATCGCGTTGTTCGTACAGCCAGAACCTTTTCCCCACACATTTTCATGAATATGTCCTTGTATTGGCGCAGGTTAAATTTTTATTCAGTTTCGAGTTCAAAGAACTGTGAAACAGACACGTTAGAATTAGAATGGTTAGGTTGCAAGGAGGGGGAGTTATCAGTGTTTTGCACTTGGTCGATTCAGCTTTGAAAAGATAAGTAATTTAACCAGTTTGAAAAACGATGACGTTCATTAATGCATAAAACATGATATAATAAAAAGATCACATTTATAACTCGGCAGATTTGAAACAATGCGTTAGCAGAAAAGAAAATGAATAGATTTACTGGCAATAGAGGGGAGATTCTCAATCTGATGTCTGAAGGGTAGCCAATGAAATCTCAAGAGAAATTTAGAACGAGCGTGTGCTTTTTTCAAACGTTTTGTTTTTCAAAATCCTGCACACTTTAGCCTTATACGGCTTTGCAGTATTTTGTTTTTGGGCAATATCTGGACGGTTCCACTTTGAAACATTGCATGGTGGGAAGCGTATTGCAGCTCTCCCGCCACGACATGAGTTGCAATTTACAGGTTAATGTGGATTAACAAAATTCCACCACATCGGCAAAATACGCCTCCTCTCGCTCTGAAAGATTAATGACCTCCCCCTGCAGGAGGCAAGGTACACTTTGCCATCCCCTTGAACCCATTCACGCGGGGTGGATTTGAACACTCAATTATCGGCGGGAAAATTGATTAATAGCGGCTCGATTTTAATCTATGTTTACTCAGGCCATCAGAGAGCAGAAATGCAAATGACGGGCAGGAAATTTGGCTAAAATGATCACGTTCTTGTTGAAAAAAATAAATGAGCTCATGTTTGCTAGTAAGTGTGTACATTGTGATACACCGCAATAGCAGCGCAGGCAAAAAGGCATCTCATGGTATCCAAACGAACAGGAGGCAAAATGCTCTCATCAGTTTTTGCCTTTGACATTTTCCAGCCTCTCAGACTTACTCTGTTTTGACAGGTGTAAATTATTTGATTTTCTCTTGCTGAAGCTTTTCTTTTTTAATCGCCGTTTTCCCATTACAAAATTTGCATCATTGCCGCTTAATTTTGTAAAGCTCTTTCATAGGTCACATCATAAAAGGGGAATATCTCAACAAACACAACACCCCCATAAAATAATAAAACACACACCGTAGAACTGAACAGAACGGCCTTCAGCAGCATTAACGCTGTGCTTGTGGATATCGTTTTTCAATAAAAAGAAATGATTTTGCCTTCATGTTTTGGATGTTGGTGAATTAATTCTATTCTGGCTGGAATGATCGTGCAATTTGTGAAAGAGAAGGGAAAGAAACCGAATGAAATGTATGCCACTTTTATAACGATGTGAAAAGCACCGCGAAAAGTTTGCCGTTCGGCCTTGGTCTCATCTGCAATTTACATGTCATGCTAGGGTACCACCAAAAATGTACCGTGAGCTCTGTGAATTTAACTGCCAACTTGCCCAAACGTATGTGAGGTTTATTGAAAAAATTATGTCACCTCTTCCGAATAATCAGAAAGAGA